CCAGATCATCATGGAGCAGTGGGACGACCAGCAGTGGCTCCTGATCTTCCGCATATGGAAGGACACCTTCCTGGAGCTGTGTGCCTAGCTCGCTCCTGCCTGCCAGTGACAGGATACACACATGCGATCCACCATCCCCCTCCAGAAGCGAGTCGCTATCATTCTGTGGAAAGTCACCATGCCAGACAGCTACATCAGGAATCAGATTGGCGTGGGGAGATCAACCGTTGGGGCTGTGCTCATACAGGTTTGACTCTCTTGCTATTGTCCCAGGAGGGTGGTGAACTGCTGGAATGGGGTTCCTTGGCGAAGGGGGGGAGTGGTGGAAGCTCCCTCCCTAGAAGGTTTTCAGTCTTGCCTTTACAGAGCCATGCCGAGGGATGGAGTTAATTAGGGTTGGGCCAGATATGTGAGTGGGGCAGGGAGTTGGGCGCGGGGACCTCCTGAGGGCCCTGGCAACCCTGTGATTCTCTGTTTGTCTCCTTCTACAGGATGTGTGGGCCATCAACACCACCCTGCTGCAGAGAGTCTTCATCCTGGACAACACAGGATCATTGCTGGCTTTGCCATTCTGGGCTTCCCCAGCTGTGGGGGACTATTGATGACACATACATTCCAGTTTGGGCCCCCAACCACTGCCCTCCAAATATATCAACTGGAAGGGATACTTTTCACTCGTGCTGCAGTCCCTAATGGACCACCGAGGCTGGTTCACTGAGCCTCACTGTCCCTTTGCGCTGGGGACAAGCAGGCATGGGAAGGAGCTGGCCAGGCAGGGAGCCTGCAGGTGGGAGGGGGGTAATGGGGTGGCTCAGCTTCCCTCCTGTTATGGCAGTGGCAGCATCCCACAGGGAGAGGACTTGTACTCCTGAGCTCTGGAAGAGAGTGGGCGAGGGCATCTGGGGAGATCCGTGTGAGTGTGAGACGGTGCTTGTTGGGTTCCCCTCTACTTCCTCTCTGCTGCCCTCCTGGCAGAATCCCCAGGCAGGGGACTGGTGTCCTCTGCCTCACCATGCTTGCCCGGGAGCACATGCTGCCCTGAGAGTGCAGGCATGCCTGTATGAGGCACTGCTGTGTATGTGTCCGTGACCCCATCCCTAGTGGGGGCTTGTGGTGGGAAGGTGTCTCACCACAGGGTTTGGAGTAAGGCAGGCCCAGCTCTCCAGAAACCCTGTGAGTAGAGTGCCAGTTCTGTGTGTTGGAGCCTCACTGCGGCTGTGTGCTCTGGGCTGGGGTTCCATGTGCACCCACATGCACAAGCAGCTGTGCGATCCCCAGGCTGAGAAGGCTGGGAGAGGAGTGCGCAGCCCAAGGGTGCCATTTATGGGGAGAAGGGAGGGGCATACTTTGGATTTCATACTCGAAGTCTGCTTAAAGCTCCATGCCCTGACTCCAGAGGCGGGTCTTAACCGCAACAGAGTTTGAGCTGCTTGCAGTTTGGTTTGGAGTAAGGCAGGCCCAGCTCTCCAGAAACCCTGTGAGTAGAGTGCCAGTTCTGTGTGTTGGAGCCTCACTGCGGCTGTGTGCTCTGGGCTGGGGTTCCATGTGCACCCACATGCACAAGCAGCTGTGCGATCCCCAGGCTGAGAAGGCTGGGAGAGGAGTGCGCAGCCCAAGGGTGCCATTTATGGGGAGAAGGGAGGGGCATACTTTGGATTTCATACTCGAAGTCTGCTTAAAGCTCCATGCCCTGACTCCAGAGGCGGGTCTTAACCGCAACAGAGTTTGAGCTGCTTGCAGTTTCTCTTTGGGGCTGGGAGTTTGTTATAAAAAGAGGGAGGCAGGATGACTAAGAATAACAAAAGGCCGGACACTCAAGTCATTGAAGGATTGTTAGATTATCATGAAAATATTGTCTGGTATGTCATGATTATGAGGGTTAGCCAGCAGCCTGGGAATTAAGGGGTTAACTACACCTAGCCAGGTGGAGTGACCAGTAGGAATGTAGGTGGGACTTTTCCAACTGGGACAAAGGAATTTGGTTTTTTTTCTTGCTCCTTTTTTGTCTCTCGGAGAGTGCTCTGCAGCTACAGAGAGGGACAAGCATGTCTCTCTCTCTCCAAGACACCATTCTTCATTTTCTGTAAGTAGGGTAAAGTTTAGGTAGTTTCGTTAGGTCTTATTGTTTTAAGGATTGGGTACGGGATCTGAGATCTGGCACTGCTTAAAAGATGTTTTGGCTTGTTCTTTGTAACTAAGTTCTAGGCCCATGGAGTTTCTCCATGAGTATATTTTGTTACCTCCCTATCTAGTCATTATGGTTGCAACAGGAATTTTGTTGTAATAATAAAAGTTCTTTCTTTTCTTTTATTAACCTGGCAGTGGTTAATAGTGTGCCTTGATTTTTATCTTAGGGGTGAGATTTCCCAAATGATCTTCCCCCTGATTTCTTTATCAGCATTTGGGTGGTGGCAGCGGAGGTTTTGTTCCCAAGATCTAGGTTTTTTAAGATTTTGGGGGAAGTTTTATACCAAAGCCTGGTAGATAAGGCTTTGGGGTACACTTGCTGGCCCCCACTTCTGCATTTATCTTGCCAGAGTGGGGAAGGAGCCATGACATGGTACTCCACTTAAAATATAGGAGAATAGGAATGAGTGTTGTGATGCTGGGATTTGTATTTGAATGACTGCTGTTAAACTTTAAAAAAATCTTAAAAAACAAGTGATCCCATAGCAGCTTAGAGACTAAAAAAACCCCGAAACTCTTCCCCCTGCCCGTAATCTTCTAAATGTTCTTGAAATGAGGTGGACAGTGACTAATCCAAAGCTGACTTCTAAGAGTTACAAAGGGATCTCACAAAACTGGGTGACTGGGCAACACAATGGCAGATTAAATTCAGTGTTGATAAGTGCAAAGTAATGCACATGAAAAAATATAATACCAACTATACAAATGTAAGCAGGGTCTGAACCATTGCTTGCAACGCAGCCAGCTGAAATGAGAAAGCAGCCCTGGGTGTGATTATGCTCACTCAGTTGTTTAGCTCTGCAAGATAATTAACTGTTGATATGTAAATACAGCTCATGCTGGAATGGGGAAGGAATCTAGGGTGTTATGATGTAAATCCAGTTTAGCCAGTGCTATAGGCCTGATGGATGGTCAATTGTTAGAATGTAATGTAGTGTATTGTAACTAATTTGGCTGTTGTGGGTCACAAACCATGCTACCCCTAAATGTAGGAACTGTAAAATATGACACCAGTGCTTGCAGGAGAGATACTGTCATTGTAAAGGGTTTCAGATGAACAAGCCCCCCCCTTCCAGATTTGAGTAGACTGAGTTGGGGGGAAAGGGCTTGAATCAACCAGCTACATGCCATCCAGGCGTAAGCTGTAAGACTGATTCAACCTGTCCTTTCCCCAACCCCCGTTCTAAGGATAGATCTGAAACAGACTCCATAAGGAGTCTCTTTGTTATTCCAATGGAAGCTGGAATCTTTTGGCCTGCCTAAGTGGTGGCTAAGAGCTGCAATCACTAAGGATATGTCTAGATTACATGGCTCCGCTGACAGAGTCATGTAGATGAGTTTGCTAGACATAGGAAAATGAGTTTACTAGACATAGGAAAATGAAGCGGCGATTTAAATAATTGCTGCTTTATTTACATCAAAATGTCTGCCACACTGTGCCGATGATCAGCTGATCCAGCATAGCGGGCAGTCTGGACGCTCCGCAGTCAACAAGGGAAGCCTTTGTCAACCGCTCCGGTAAACCTCGTTTCACGAGGCATACTGGAGTGATCGACAAAGGCTTCCCCTATCAATCGTGGAGCATCCAGACTGCCCACTGTGCTGGATCAGCTGATCATCCGACACAGCATGGTGGACATTTTGATGTAAATTGCCGCTTCATTTTCCTATGTCTAGTAAACTCAGCTACATGGCTCCGTCGACAGAGCCATGTAGTCTAGACATACCCTAACAGTTGAAGTCACTAGTTTGGCCTCGGGCCAGACCCATTGTGACTGGCGGGTAGCCGGTAGGAAAAGCAGCAGGCAGCCAGCAGGGTGGCTGGTGGGAGCAACCAGTGGGCAGCTGGTAGGAGCAGCAGCAGGTAGCTAGCAGGGTGGCTGGCAGGAGCAAGCGTACCACAGGAGCAGCACAAAGGTGGCATTGCCTCAGGCTCAATGAGTGAAGTTATCAGGGTGATGTGTCTGAGTCTGCACTGACTGGACAGAGCTATAAGTCGGGCGTTAGAATTGGGATATGGAGAAAGTTTAGGCATGTGAGTGGGACCCTTACATTGTTGGACTGGTGATCCTGAGAGGCACAGGACATTGCTCAATCCATTTGAGCTGGGACAGTTACTCGTGGGTTGGTTATGAACTCTGGTAGTGGTATTTTCCCAAGCTAATGCCATGTGATTTCTCTCTCTCTTTCATTAAAAGTTCCTTTTCTATCCTCAGACTCTGTGCTTGTGAGTGGGGAAGCATTGCCTCTCAGAGGCACTCAGGGTGTGTGAATTTCCCAGGCTACCGGGTGGAGACCTGAGCCAGTTCTGTGGGAGATTGATGAAAAGGAACCCCTAGATATTGAACCCAGCCCTGGCTGTTGCTGGCACTACTTGGCAGAAGGGTTACACATACAAAAATAATGGGGTCTAAAATAGCAGTTACCACTCAAGGAAGAGCTCTTGGAATCATTGTGGATAGTTCCCTGAAAACATCTGCAGTCTAAAAACTAAAACGGTAACAGAATATTGGGAATCATTAGGAAAGGAATAGATAAGACAAAATACCATATTGCCTCTATATAAAATCATGGGATGCCAACAACTTGAATACTATATGCAGATTCAGTCACTCCATCTAATAAAAGATATATTGGAATTGGAAAAGGTACAGACAGGGCTCAGTTTGGAAAAGAAATGACTAGAGTGGGGGAATTTGTTAGAGGTCTAGAAAATTATGACACAAGAAGTTGACCAATTAAATATATAGGCAGCTGATTTTAAACAAACAAAATACATTATTTTTTCATAGTGAACTTGTGGATCTCTTTGCCAGGAGATGGTGGAAAGGCCCAAACCGTAATAGGGTTCCAATAAGAACAAAGTAAGTTCAAGGAGGATCGGTCCATCAATTGCTACTAGTCAGAATGGGCAGGGATGGTGTCCTTAGCGTCTGTTTGGTGACAGGAAATGGATCATGATGATTGCCTCTTTTATTTATTCCTTCTGAAGCACCTGGCATTGGCCACTGTTGGAAGGCAGGACACTGGGCTAGGAGGATCATTGATCTGACCCAGTATGGCCATTCTGATGTTCTTATAGGGTACATCTAGACTACATGCCTCTGGCGACCGAGGTATGTAGATGAGGCTACCCGGCATAGGAAAATGATGCGGCGATTTAAATAATCACCGCTTCATTTAAATTTAAATGGCTGTTATTTCGAATTAGCTTTAATAGCGTCTATACATGCAAACCACTATTTCGAATTTAATTTGAAATAGAGGAGCCCTTAATTCGAATTTGGTAAACCTCATTCTACGAGGAGTAACGCCAAATTCCAAATAACTATTTCGAATTAAGTGCTGTGTAGACACTTAATTCAAAATAGGAGGCCTCCAGCCCTTCCCAGGGAGCCCTGGTGGCCAATCTGGGCACAGCCAGGAAAACTTACTCTCCTCGCCCCAAGCCCCAGAGCCATTAAACCCAGGGGCCCCAAAACATGAGCCAGAAAGCCACTGGCAGCCAGCCCTCCGCCGCTCCCCAGGAGCAGTCTGCCAGCTCCCAGGAGCCTGACAGGGGCTGGAGAAGGCGGGCACCTTCCTGGTCCAGGATGGAGATCATGGACCTTATTCAGGTTTGGGGGGGATGCCCCCACGTCCATGATCTCTGCATTAGATGGAGGAAGGCGGCTGTCTAGGGCAGGATAGCTGTCAGCCTGGCCACCAAAGGCCACATGCGAACCCAGGAGCAGGTTAGCATGAAAGTCATGTTGGTCCAGCAAGACCCCCAAACCTGAGCTCTGAGCTTCCCCTCCCCCTTCTTCCCTTTGCTTCTCACTTCCAGCTCCCTCCTCCCAGGTTCCCCCCTCCCCTCTCCCAGCCTCTCTCTTCCTCTCTCCCACCTCCTTTTCCCAGTCTCCTCAGAGGTTCAACCCTCCCACCGCCCAGTTTTGTTCAATAAACCCAGTTTCTATTTTTGAACATACGTGTCTTTTATTGCAAAACACAATTTCTGCTCTCAGACACATTCTATTCCAACATCAAACCTCTCCAGCAGGGGCGGACCGTCCATATAGGCGAACTAGGTGGTTGCCTAGGGCGCCAAGTTAAATGGGGCGCCAAATGGTGGTGCAATATCATTGAGGGGTTTGGAGGTGGGGGCGCCGATTGCATGGTTCGTCTAGGGCACCCATTGCTGGCAGCTAGACTAGGGCCGCCCCTGCGAGTCCAGCATTCTTTCTATAGAGCTTGGAGAGTAATCCAGAATAGTTTAGAGGAGCAAACTTTTTAGATAGGGTGGTACTTGTGATCATTTTGCAGATAGAGACTTGTGCTCTTTGCACTTTACAGATGCTTTTTGGACCACAGCTGCCTTTGAAGCCTAGTAGCGTTGTGAAGTGACTCACAGCTATAGGCTGTAGTGAGAAGATGGTTTGGCAGCTTTCCATGTACCGGCCACAAAAGACTTCTGAAATCTTGTTTATATGTAATGTTAAACCATTTAAAACCATGTTTAGTCTTCCTTGCAACTGGAAATTAAAATGGTGACTTCAAAATCCTGTCTGCTTAAAGCCTTCTGTTCAGTCAACAGACGGAAAGACTCCAAAGTCTAAAACCACAGATACATCACACTGGCTAGATTTAATGGCACTTTGATTTTTAATTAAAAGCTTTAATATTATTGAGTAGATTGCTTTCTAAAATTACACTACAGCCAAGAATTCTCATTTTAACAGAAGACACCAATTCATTTCATACAAAACAAAGCAGCTTGTGTTTTGATTACAGTAATTTAGGGTGCGTCTACACAGCAGTGTTATTTTGGAATAACGGACATCTACACAGCAATTCCATTATTCTGAAATCAGTTCAAAATAACAGACAGCTTATGCCAGCTTCTGTAAACCTTATTCCAAAACCTCAATAGCTATTTCAGAATAGCGGGAGTGTGGATGTTCCACTGCTGCTATTTCAAAATTGCTCTTCCCCCAGGGCCATTCAGAGTAATTATGCCCCTGTGCCTCCTGGGGCTACATATCAATGTAGCACATCCCCATTAGGGAAGCCCACCTTGGATTAATTTTGAGGCTTCCCTGGAGTGTAGACATGCTATTTCGTGCTATTTTGGAGTATTTCTTCCGGAATAGCTTATTTCAAAATAAGCTTGCAGTGTCGACGTACCCTTAAAGGGCTGGTGAAAAGGGCACAATTTAGCTGAAGTTTCAATACTTCAGAAGTTGCACATTGTGGCTTTGGTCCTACAAGCTTTTGATCATCACCAGGAGAATGTGAAGCTGCTGGACAGCATAAAGGGGAGACATGATAGCAGATGTCCTTTGATTATTGCTTGTTTCTGATTTGAATAGCAAGCTCCGAGGAACTAAAAATATTCCATTGTCTCCTGTTCTAGGTGTCTTCCATAGCAATAGATGGATATGGTGGACTATGCTGCTAGCCTATGTGTGGTGCTCTGATGTTCATGTAGGCGTTTTAATTTCCCTTCACCTGTATCCCATATAGTAAGGAGCTCAGGAGACATGTGGGTGGTCATGTAGCTCCCCTCATTTCTGCCAGGGTGGGATATGGGGGAAGCGTGCCCCCATTCAACCCTGCTGGAAGGTGCCCATCACTGACAGCAGTGAAGCTCCATCAGAGCGGGAGTGGGGAAGCCTTCTGAGGCTTGTCCTTTCCTCACACACAACTGCAGTTCTCTGCTCAGCTGTGGATGTCTGGAGCTCTCTCCAGCCCGTGCTGGGCCTGCAGCAGGGAAGCAATGAGGAAAAGTGGAGAAGGGGCAGAGGGAGGGGTCAAGAGAGTGCTGGCTTGGAGCAGGTGTGGAAGGGGCAGAGGGAGCAGGAAAGGGTCCAGAAGCCACACATGAAGCAGTTGCATGCCCTGACTCTACCCCCCTCAAGAGTGTGGGTCATCTCTGGCCAAGAGGGCATCAAATGCAACATGGTCATCTCTCAGATGCCATCCCGCCCTGTGAGCTCTGTGGGAAATGCCTTGTGTCCACATGGAGCTCATTGACACTAGCTGGGCTTTGTGCCTACGAGGATCACAGTGCAGGAGAAGGGCTTCATTTAGTGCAGCAGCCTCACACATCAGGAAAAACAAATAGAGTTGTGCAGATGCTTGAGCCCCCCTGGAAAGAAACATGCCAACACCCCTGCAGAAATCTGAGCCCTGCCCGCTGTACTGGAAATACAGAAAGCAACTGTCATGGTTTTAGTAAATACACAACTGTTGGGGGAGTATATTTGAAACCGAACTCAATGTGCCCTTTTCAACCACATGAGTGTTCCAAGCTTCCTGGACAGGGTTACCAGATGGTTTCAACAAAAATACCGGACACACTTGACATTACATCACAATCTTTTTTTTTATTTATTGTCTCAATTTGTTTCCCAAACAGAAAGCTCAAATACTGGAGTGTCTGGTTCAAAACTGAACATCTGGCAACCCTATTCATGGAAAAATATATAATATTCTTATCACTGATCCTGCAAAATCCATTCAAAATGATGATTTACAGAACTAAAACACAAGTAATTAGTGTTGTAATGAAATAAAAATGTCAACCATCTACATATTTTGTTAGTTCTTAAAGTGTTTTTTAAGTTTTTTCTGTTACAGACTAATTTGGCTACCCCTCGGAAGCTTCTGAAGAAAGAAAATGCTCTTCTCCACAGACAGTGACAGTGCAAGAACTAAGTCTGGAACACAGGCTCTCTCTGGGTAACTTGAGTGGAAAAAAGCTAATTTTGGTTCACATTTCTGTCACTAGTGGAAATTCCACTTGCAAATTTTCATCCGGTTTCTACTGATTCTGCTGGCAAAAAAAGTTTTGGTAGAAAACAATCCTTGATTTGACACAGCAATTGTTTCATTATTGGACTCCTGGTTTCTGGCCCAGCTCTACACACAGAGGCTATGTCTAGACTGCAGGCTAACAAATTCCTGAGACCCAGCGGATGCCTGGTCATGGAATTGCCAGCTCTTTACAAAGACTTGGATGGAACTTTGTACCTGCTGCTTCCTGTTCTGGGCCTAATAATGGGTGAAAACTCAGTGAGAGGAGGATGACAAGGAACTATCATTAGCACCCAGGTCCCTGTGTTTGCTGGAGCACTGGGAAGAGTGCAGGATTAATTGGCGCCAATCAGATACTTTCTGTGTCTAGGTGCTAATCACTGGGTGAAGGATGCAATTGGGAGGCTGTAAGTAGGAGGAGCAGGAAGTAAGGGGAGCACAGAGGATGAGCCTGGGCTAAGGAGTGACAGTGGTTTGGAAATCTCTTCCTATAACCCTGCATTGAAATCCTCGCAGCACACAAGGGGAAGGTGTTATTTGGAATAATAGACGTTATTCCGAAATAACATAGTCCGCGTCTACACTGCAAGTTGTTATTCAACATATTGTCAAAATAATTCGACCTGGAGGACTTCTTACTCTGACTCCTGTAACCCTCATTGTACGAGGAGGAAGGGAAGTTGGAGGACAAGTGCTAGACAACGCCAAAAGCTGAAATAAGTTATTTTGACTTAAACTGACATAGCTCAAGTTGTGTAGCTTATTTCGGCTTTAGCCCTGTTGTGTAGATGTGCCCTTGTAGAATAAACATGCCCCTGGTGAAAGAGTAATGGCTGGACTAAGTCTGTATCTGGGAAATGACACAACTGGCCTGGCGCACAATACATTGGGCAGCAACAGGGGTGCGTAGGGATAGAAGGACGAATCGTCTCACAAATCCTCACATCTCCACATTCTAACCTACCCTCTCATGTTGCTGGTGAGAAACTGGAGTGGCACATGAATATAGGCTCACTGCAGTGGCCCCTCAAGGCTAGTGACTGTTTCAGAGGAAGGCAAACCAGCATCTCCCAAGCACGCAACAGTTAATTAGGACAAGATTCCCCAGTATCCTCGCAGCTGCATGTCTGCTTGGGGAGGAGTTGTTTAATCCTGGTGGCTCCTACAGTTCCCACCAACCACTGATGCAACTTCCAATTAAGTTTATTTAAACAAGGATTTCAAAAGGCCTGTCCTTTCCCCAGAGAATGTGGAGAAATGACGGGGATCAGGCCCCAGGGAATCTCCCAAAGCTTTTCAGCCAGACAGGAAGGCAGGGATCTCTGCATCTTTCAGTGTAGCAAGCCATTTGGATATCCACGACCCAGAGTTGTTTTTTCTGAATGGATGTCTAAATCCATATTTTAAACACCCGATTAAGAGCCCTGATTTCGACTGCAGCAGCATTACTGACATCAGCATGGCTGAGGCCACACTAGTGAGTCTGTAAAAATGTCACATCATTGCCATACCAACAGTATTAGCTGCTTGTCATTTAATCACCGTACTTTCTGAGGTGCCAGACCAGGTGTGCATAGGACAGGGAGAGCATTTGTTTCTGGTTTTGTACTGCACCTTACACTGGGATCCCGGCCCATGCCTGAGAGTGCTAGTCTCTAGAGTAATAGCAATATATACAGATGTCAGGGACCTGGCTTACCTAGCATTCCACCCTTACTTCCCTATTGGAGCTGCACCAGCTCGAGAGTCATGTTGGGCGATTTCAAGCACTATCTAGGGGAGGCAAGGAGCAAAATTTTTAAAACACCTGACCTTGAAACAAACCATAACAAGCAGTAAATCTTCTTTTTTTAGATGAAATAATCCAGGATTCTTGTAACTGTCAGTCCACAGAACAAGATTCCCCACTTTCTTGACATATTTGGTATCATGTGTAGAAGAAAATCAGTGCAATTAACTTCTGCAATCTACTTGTGAAGTTAGGGCCCCATTCACACTCATTTTCTCTTTAGTGTGTCCATTCGTCAGACAACTCTGCAAGTCCCCAGGCTCCCCGGTCTTCAGCCCCCTAACAATCCTCGTGTTGTTCTGGGGGTTGGTGAATTAGATCAGCATTCTCACTACAGACGTGTGATCATGCTCTGCACCGCTCTCCTGATAGCTGCAGGTTAATCAAGGGATACAGTGTTATAGACATCTAGCTGCCATCTTAGTCATTCCGAAAGATAGGAAACAAAGATTTGATGCCATCAGAAGTGGGGGAAATATGGCCTTAAAGCATCAAGGAAGGAATGGACTTTGCTCAAATGATCAGGCCACATTTTCCATTGAATTACTCCAGTGAAACTGAGAGGAGCAGTTAGCCCCTAATCTGCAAAACAGACGTGTCAAATAAAGATCTTTAAAGTGTCAGTTGCTTCATATTGCTTGTTTGCGTAGCATTTATTAGCTGATTGTCTGATTCTGTGTCTTCTGCTTTGCTTTAATTCAGTTGCATTGGGCAAGCTGGACCATCATTGTTTCCTGTTAGGAGTCGTCTTGTTTTCACACGCCCGGTTGTTTTGACAGGTTAGGTTCATTTTCAACTGCTTTGTCATCTGTAAAACCGTTTTCATCTTCTCTGTCATCTGTAAAATCGGGAGTGGGGGGAGACTCTTGTGAGACCACAATAGACACAATTACCTCTTAGCAAAATGAATGTCTGAAGCCGAGCTAGTGGCCACCTGGCTGCCTCTGAGCCCGCTCCTGAGCGCTCGCCCACCAGAGTAAATAGGAATTCATGACAATCAGTGGCATTCCACCGGCAGGGGGTCAATGAGATCAGAACTAGGCCTAGTGTGTATCTGTCTGGGTAGAGTGTGGGCAAAGCACAGACTATGGTGGTGTCAGCTTCCCCTGCTTGGCCCTGCCAAGATACCACAACATTGACCAAGTGGAACTGCCTGTAGGGCCGAGGGGGAGTCTGTTGCCATGGTTCCACAGGGGGCTAGTGTACACGAATATACTGTCCTGGCAACTCCTCAGTGGAGCTGGAGCGTGTTTTGGCAAGCAGTGTTCTTTGCCATTCTGGGTCATAGATTCCTACATTCCAAGCCCAAAGAGACCAGTGTGACCGTCTAGTCTGCACGCTGCCTAACACAGGTCACTAGACTTCCCCAGAATCAGGCCTTTTGAAGTGGAGCATATCTTTTAAAACAATCCAACAGGGAATAAGAAATTGCCAGTGATGGAGAATCCACCATGGCCCTGGTTAAATTGTTCCAAAGGTTAATTACCGTGGTGGTTAAAAACCCACAGCCTATTCCCATGGACAGTTCACTCCTCTCTCCAAAAAACAAAATCTTCCGAGGCAAAAGTGTTCCATTGCCAGAATAAGCTGCAGCTTTGCTGCTGTTTTGCTGGAATAGCAGTGTTGGTGTTTTTGACACTCCCAACTGACATAGCTATGCCGGTTGCACTGTACAGCGCAGGCCTGGCCTCTGTCTGTAGCCTGTCACTTCAAACGGCCAGTGAGAGGGCACAATGGGAGAGCAGAAGACGTTGCAGATGAGTGTGGAGGGACAGAAGCCGAATTTCAGAAGGACTAACATGCCTGGGTAGAGCTGGGTGGCGGTTAGGGGAGGGCTGGCAGCACTAAAACAGGAGGCCAGCGGTTCATCAGCAGAGCTGCAGGGCACCCCAGGGCTGTGTGTACACTGGCGGGTTCTTGTGGACACATGGCAGGAGTTTCTTGCACAAGAAAGGTCTATGGTTAAAATGGTCATCAGAGCTTTCTTGCACAAGAGAGTGTCCACACTGCCATGGATGTTCTTGCGCAAAAACACACATTCTTATGCAAGAACTCGCCAGTGTAGACATAGCCATGGGGTGCTTCAGATCAGGAGATAGGTGCATTTTCGCAGCTGTGTGTGTTCCCAGAGCATATTCACTGAAGGTCAGAACTGAGGTGTGTTTTGGAAGAGCTGTCTGGGAGAAGTTCATGTGACCAGCCCATGCAATGCACTACATTGGGCTCTTATCAGCTTTTCATCTTGAAGAGCACTAAAGTGTAACAAAGCAATCACACCCCTTATATATTGGGCTAAACCCAACTCCGGCGCCACACCACTAATTTCAGCTGAATTAGACAATGGGTGAACTTGCCCCATCATTAGATAAACTAGGGAAAAGTTAAAGGCTTACGTTGTCTCAGAATCAGCGGCAGGCTCCGGAACAAGTCTACAAGATTCCTTTTGACGGCTGCTAGGAAAATGAAGGGAGAGAGAGATTGGCATTAGAAAGTGTATGAAACCAGCAAATGACGTAATTTGGGGAGTTATACAGCATTGTTGAATACAGATATCAATTGTGCTGATCAAGACCATGGGCAACAATAAATGAAAGGCACCATCCCATGTGAGTGCAGACACAGAAAAGGGCTTTGTTTGGATGTTAACTGTGGTCAGTCACGTGATGCGGCGCAGCCCTGTGCATGGTTCCCTGATCAGTTGTGTACCACGTGCAATGCTGTCTCACATGCATTTCAAGTTCTTCCCCTGGGCTGCATTTGGCTCTGCCACCCTTTGCTTTAAATGTCATCTGAAATGTAGCCAGGGACTAGCCCTTTGCCTGGCTTGATACGAGTGGCCAAAGGAAGCATTTTCAAAAATGCCCGTGTTACTCTGGGGCCCTGGTCCCATTGATTTCAGTGGGATTCAAAAACATGCAGTGGGGATACTTTTAAACAATATTTCTGTGAATTGTGGGTCTGGACTTCACTGGGGGCAGGATGGGACTGTCAGGGCTGGGGGTTACACCTCTCCAGACTCATTGTTTTGCATGGTGGGACACTCTAGGGGTATGTCTAAACTACATGGCTCCGTCGACGGAGCCATGTAGATTTGTTTGTTTGGCAAAGTCAAATGAAGCCGCGATTTAAATGATCGCGGCTTTATTTACATTTACATGGCTGCCGCGCTGAGCCAACAAACAGCTGATCAACTGTTTCTCCGCTCAGCGCGCTAGTCTGGACGCTCCCCTGCCGACATCAAAGCCCTGTGTCAGCAGCCCCGTTATTCCTCGTGGGATGAGGTTTACCGGGGCTGCCGCCCAAGGGCTTTGATAGCGCGCTGAGCGGACAAACAGCTGATCAGCTGTTTGTCGGCTCAGCGCGGCAGACATATAAATGTAAATGAAGCCGCAATCATTTAAATCGCGGCTTCATTTGCCTTTGCCTATGTGTCTAATCTACATGCCTCTGCCGACAGAGGCATGTAGACTAGACACAGCCTAGGTGTCTGAGCTGGTCCCGACCTTTACAAGGGCAATGGCTGAAAAGCACAAGATTCTTTAGTGCAGAAGAAAGGTGCCCTCGACTGCCTGCAACTTCTTCACTGGAGGATGAGCAGGGATGAGCAAGAACCTTACGTTCTTGGGTGCAGTTATGTGCGAGGTTGCTCTCCCGAAGGGGTATGGGCTGAAACAAACTTTACCTGGTTTGTAACTGGGAGGGGTTTAAGTGCACACAAACAGGCTAAATCACACAGTAAGCTCAAGAGGAGATGTAGCCCACCCACCTTCTGGCTGTGGTGTTCTGTCCCATCTAGTGGCAACAAGACCTCTTACAGAGAGAATAATGAGTCCATGCTACAGCCTTAGCTAATAGCCAGTTGGCTTTTGGCTCAGATACTGAATTCCAGAGGTTCCATTCCACCTGCAGATGACTGCAGATTGAGCTGTGCTCCTAACGGGGGTGAGTTAACCCAGGTTAAGAGTGGTGAAATTTCAAGAGTGCCAGCCTAAAAGGGATATGTCTACATGGCAGCTGGGCACAAGCCTCCCAAGCTGGGGAGGCAGACTTGCTCAGTGTGGACACCGTGGTTCGAGCTCTCCAGCTCGCCTAGCCCCGAGGTCTGAGCTCGGGTGGCTAGCCCGATCCCTCGCTGGCAGACAACTGTGCATGACTCGTTGCGGTAGGCTAGACTGAGCCCAGTGAGTTTGAATCTGTTTATTCAGGCTGAAAAGCTCACAAATCGCCATGTTCTTGCAGTGAACTTGACCTGACTGAAGAGCCTTTCTTTTGCAGGGAAGCCATTCCCTTCTGCAGCAGTGTTCTTCCCTCCTCAAAACTCACAGGAATTGGTCTGCACTGAACCAACCTTCATGTAATTGGTTACCAACTAGCTTGTGGTAGTTAACACATTTGCAAAGGTCCCATGGACAGTGCCCCCACGTTTGTTCCAGCCGACAACCATGCAGTGTGGATTAGCTGTGTAGGGGGGTACTAGCTCACAGCAAGTGACTTTTGGCAATTCAGCAGGTGCAGATGGGACAGGCCTTGCCCTGAATGTGAGTTATCGGACTGTACCTCGCTGGCGGTACTTGTAGTACAGCATCACTGCAAAACAGCAGAGCACCAGAAAGAGGAGCACTAGAATGGTGGCAACATGGCCTTTTCCAGTCTTCGGAATTTCCAAACCTGGAAAAAAAAATGGGCGTGTTACTAAAGTTTCAAAAATGGATATGAAAGCGGAAATTCGCAGGGGGATAATTTGTGGTTCATATGGTACATTTGGCAGATATGGAACATCATGTTTTCAGCTCATTTGGAGTAAATGTTCAAAACTGTCCAAATGACTTAGGAGCCTCAGCTGACTTTCAATAGAACCAACCAACTATGGCAAAGATCCCAAAAGAGATACAGGCACCTTGCTATCCCATGCAATCCACAGCCCTGAGTTAGGCACCCAACTCTGTATGTAATACTCGGGGGACTTGGGAGCCTAAGAAAGGGATCAGCAAAAGCCAGCATCTTGAGTGAGGAGCTGCTTAAGCTTGTCAATGGGAAATGTTGAAGAGAGGGGCAGGGCTTATGTGATTTTGCCACCAATGTCCATTTGGGATTCACAGCCATGAACCCTCTCCTGAAGTCAGGCACCTGAGCCCTTTCTTGCACAAAATGCACTGTCCACACTGTTTTGCATTATGAAAAATATCTATAATAAAATAATGACCAGATGCATATGATAATCTATGCCCACAGCTTTTCCTGGAACAAGAAGGTGGTGCTCATACTAACATTAGCATTAGTAATCTAAGAACTTCCTGTCACCTCCTTTCCAGCTGAGGAGCACGAATTCTGCACAGGACACCTGATAATGATCCATTATCAGGAGATCATAGAATCATAGGGCTGGAAGAGATCTCAGGAGGTCATCAAGTCCATCCCCTTGCCCAAGGCAGGACCAATCCCAACTAAATCAACCCAGCCAGGGCTTTGTCAAGCCAAGACTTAAACACCTCTAGGGATGGATATTCCACCTCCTCCCTAGGCACCAATCCCAGTGTTTCACCACCCTCCTTGTAAAATAGTTTTTCCTAATATCCAACCTAGACCTCCGCCACTGTAACTTGAGACCATTGCTCCTTGTTCTGCCATCCGTCACTACTGAGAACAGCCTCTCTCCATCCTCTTTGGAACCTCCCTTCAGGAAGTTGAAGGCTGCTCTCAAATCCCCCCTCACTCTTCTCTTCTGCAGACCCAAATCTCTCAGTCTCTCCTCATAGGTCATGTGCTTCAGCCCCCTAATCATTTTGGTCGCCCTCCGCTGGACCCTCTCCAATGAGTCCACATCCTCTCTGTAGTGGGCAGCCCACAACTGGACACAATACTCCAGATGTGGCCTCACCAGAGCCGAATAATAGATGAAAGATTTGGGGCTGAAATGCAGTTTGTCTGCACTTTATACCTGAGTTTGAAGTAAATCGAAGATAGTTCTCGACTGTGTCTGCACTGAGGCACTTGGCTTTGTTTCTCTTGGTGTGCATGTCATACACCACCACGCAGCAATACCCGGATGCAGTTAAGTTGGGGCTCTCATGGAGTGTGCTGGTAAGGCTGGTTAAGCCACCTTCTACTTCCTCGGCTACTAGGCTTGCTCTGTCCGTCAGGTTGGTCCCGTGGCCGTTGAACCAGTGGATCTGCCTTTGCTGATGCCCTATCGGTGACTGGCAGGAAAGCTCGGTTCCGTTCCAAATGAAGTTAGGCTCAGTTTCAGGAGCTGAAAGAAACACAGTGTTGACTGTGGCTTGTAAATCTGTTTTGTGGTGCTAGCAAAATCCATTGCTTTTTTGAGGCCTGATCTCATGCCACTGAAATCATAGCTACAGCATTGGGTCCATGACAGCTGAATGATTTCTGTCAATTGCAGACTCTCTGAAGATTGCTTTAAAAGTGATTTCAACGGGTGACTAGAGGGTCTTGGAGTATGAGGGGAACTCCCCGGAAGTTCAGTCGAGGTTGAATTGACCCTAGAACTGTGTCACAGCCCTGCTGACTGCATTGTCTGTGGGGATGGACCTATAGGATCTGGTGTGAGGGTTGGTGACAACTGCCCCCTATACCATATGTGTAAGTACCGCTTGGGAATAAAGGAAAAGTGGCCAGAAAAGAGTCACTACAGGCTCTGGGGATGGCAGGGAGTTCTGCTTTCTGCAAGGTGTTTGGGCGTCAGTGTCTCTGAATGTTCTGTGTTGTGAGCGAACATGCAACGCACACGGTCTGGCAACCATCACTTGAGTCACACAAAGTGCAGCCGTGTGCTCTATGGGCTCTTCTCACCCAGCAATTCAATGGACCCCAGTCCTTATCTCAGCACCCTGTGTGTGATCCAGGCCTGACTCCCATGGCTGTCACAGCCCCAGGTTTCCCAATGCCCTCGGGAAATGTTATGGCCTGTTGCCCCTTAGGAGCAACGGGCTTGCCGATAAATACAATTGGTGCCCTCTGAAGGCCATTGTATGAAAGCTCAGTCAGCCCTAGCTCCATGCCAGTCTTGCTTAAACTCTTACTTTATTAGCTTCAGGGGGTAGCCGAGTTAGTCTGTACAGGATAAACCTGAAAAACAACAAACGGTCTGAACAGACTATTTGTTGTTTTTTAAATGTATCTTACTGTATTAACTGCAGGTAAACCAAGAATTAATTATTTAACTCTTTCTTTCTTGCTTCCTAGAAAGTCTTACTACAAACCCCACACCAGACTTCCTCTCAGGCCCTAAGCTCACTGACCTGCCACATTTCCAGCAGCCTGGCTTCCTATAGGACCCAATAAACTAGTTTCAGGAATCTCTTCCTGGCATCATCCTTGAGATCCCAGCAAAAGTCTCCACTCTGCCGTCTAACTGCTGCCATTTGTACTAACATGCTGTGGCGGCTCCTACCAACCAGTGGTGACTTTCGAGAGTCTCTAGATATTGTATCATCTCCTGTCCAGCTGTTACTCCCCACAACCCAGGGTAAATAGTATTAACCCAACACATTATTTAACAGTATCCGTAATGGCCAATCAACAGCATCCCAACCCCCTCTGGCAGCATCTCACAGTCTGGTCCCCCATGTCCTAAGGAGTCAGGGAAGAAGAGAGAATTCATGCCAGGCCTGGCAAAGGTTACTTCCCCTTGCATGCAGGAGGTGGCTGCATTGGGTGATAAGTGGGGGGAAGGGCTGAGCCAAGCTTCCCTGAAATGCTCACCCTCTGCCTGGCCACATGCATGGGAGGGGAAGTTGGGTTCTTGGCCACCTCTCCCACCCTGGATGGGCACACTCTGAGGGCCACAGTCTGGCCCTAAACAAGCTAAAATAATACACATGACTGGAACAGGGAGAAGAACACGGTAAAATTCCATCTGCCCCTTTGAGCTAGACCCATGAAACTTGGTGAGCCCACTCCTTAAGAAGTGCTGATTGCATGGACAATAAACACCGACCTTGCATCTGCTCATCAGCGGGTCACCAGTCACCCCCCTTTTTTATTGTACTTCCACCTTTCCAATCAGTGGGGCGGGGCAGGACCAAACCCAATGTAGAATTTATCTGAAATGGTTTATTTCTTTAGAAAACCTCTTTATTTCCTCACAAAACCCTCTAGTGCTGGGAATTGCCCGTTGGAAACTAATTCAGGCTCTAACTGAACTTATTTATTAAAATGGTCAAAAAAGTAACTGAACTCTGGAGTAGTTTAATGTAGTGTCCATGATTGTTTCTATGCTTTGAATTTACCTGTAATCTCCAGGGCTGTACATCTATGATATTCCCCAGCGTCAGAATAAAGATTCCATTTATAACCTCCTTGATCAGTGGCTTTTACTTTCTGTATGTGCACTTCTGCACTATAAGTGTGTAGCTTCAACTGAATTCTTCCATCTTCACTCAAAAAAATTTTTTTCCATGTATTAATAACTGTTTTGAAGGACGAGTTCTCTTTAGCACAACTTTCACAGTGCGTAACTGCCACATTTGTAATCTTCTTGCTGCTGTTGCATGAAATTACAGCAGTTTTGTTATATTCTATCTTGTTGCTGCTGCAGTTGAAGCTTGCAAATTCTGAGGGAGGCAGAGGGGGAAAAAACCCACAAATAAATGATTACTCAAGCAGCAATCCCTAAGTGTTTGATTGCTAAGATAGGGTATGCCTACACTACCCCCCTAGAAGCCTAGACATACCCATACAGAGTAGATTTATGTGGAGAAAACCTGTATCTGTTAGACACCATCATATATATAGTAGCCCAGTGTCTGTGAGTCTGTAACGCTGACATACACATCCATGCCCCTTGACCATGTATATCAGCGCCCTGCACCCCTACCCCTCACTCTGTGGTGGCTCAGCCGAGCGCTGCGCTACTCAGCTGGGCCGCGGCAGGGCAGCAAGCGGCAGCAAGTGGTCGTTTGTGGTCCACGTTCCCCATGCATGGGGAGCGCGGATCCCAAATGGCTGCTTGCCACCTGGGGCCCAGCTGAGCGGTGCTCCCTGGGGTTGCCAGGTGTCTGGTTTTCTACCGGAGAGTCTGGTATTTGCACCATTTGTCCGGCAGAAAAATTCAGAAAATACTGGACACGTGCAATGTCTGGTATTTTGTGAATTTCCAGCTGGGCGCCGGAGGGAAGCCTGGCGGGGGTGGGGAGCGACTGGGAGGTGGAGCGCAATTGGCTTTGGGAGCCCTGTGGTCGCGTGCAAAAGCCGGGTGGGGTGAGGGCCGGGACTCCCAGCCACATGCCCCCCCCGGCCCGGCTTTTGACAACCCCCACTGCAGAGCTGCCATGGAGGGAGGTGAAGGGGGCAGGGCGGTGATATACACGGCCCCGCCCCCTTCCCGTCCCGCTGTGGTGCTCAGCTGAGTGTTGCGCCCCTCAGCCAGGCCGCTGCGGGGGAGCCAGCAGTGCAAGGGGCCATTTGGGCTCCCCCATGGTGGGAGAGGAAGGGGGGGTGGAGTGGTGATGTACATGGCCCCGTCCCCTAGCCGTGTATGTCTCTGCCCTGCCCCCCTCCCTCGCGGCGGCCTGGCTGAGCAGGCAGCACTCAGCCAAGTGCCACGGTGGGAGAGGAAGGGCAAGGGGGGCGGGGAGAGATGGGAGGGGAGGGAGAGGCAGGAGGAGGAGGAGAAGGGAAAGGGAGAGTGAGAGGCAGGAGGGGGAGAAGAGAAAGAAAGAGACGGAGAGAGAGGCAGAAGGCAAGAGAGACAGGAGGTGGAGGAGAGCTGAGAGAGAGAGGGGGAGGCAATAGGAGGAGAGAGAGAGAGAGAGCGAGCAAGTGAGGCTCAGCAGAGAAGACTAAGGTGGAGGAGAGACCTGAAAATCCCATCTTATGACAGGCTAATTGGCTAGTTTGGTCATATTCAGTCCCACCTGACACCCATGCAACCCTACAAAAGCAAATATGTGTAACCAAACACAGACTTTTAAATTGGGCTAAACTAATTTCTGTCATTCCACTGATGTCAGCTGGAATGACAGCTGGGGTGAATGTGCCCCTAGATTACTGACTGATGACGGAAGGCCAGCATTTAACTCTACTTCATTGAAAGAATATTTTCGGAGGATGGAACAGCACTGGTGGTAGCTTAGTCTCAACCTTAGTCTGCAACCTTGTGGCTCTGTAGACAGGGGTTCGACCAATATAGCCAAAGTGGAGCTGAGCCAGTGGGAGCAGTGAGCAGCCAGTCTGAGCCGTGTCTCACTCAGCAGAGCATACGGGAGAGAAATGACAATGTGTCACCTGACCATTTGATAACGGCTGCTCTAAGTCTCTCCTGCTGGCTTATTCCCAAGCATACTTCTGGCGCAGGAGTGGAGCAGGAGAGGTGTGCTTTGCAGAATCCCTTTAGACAATCAGTACTGTGGTGCCTCTTTGCCAAGCTTCTGGTTCCTTTCCACTCTAGCTTCAGCTCTTTCTACGTAGCCTACGTCAGTTTCCTCCCTAGTCTAGCTCAGTGGTTGTTCTAAACCTATTTCTCGTCCGCCACTACCCATATGGCCCTAAAGGTCTTGCATGAGCCACAATTGGGCTGTGGGTTGAGAGCTACTGCTCTAGCTCCAGCTGATTGAGTTGCTGCTTTTAATGTTTAGCAGTTCAGCTTTCTCCTTGCAGCATAAAAAACACAGTATTGCGGCAAACACGTAAAATGAGGTGACTTACGGCTGTCGGAAGCACCCGAAGAAATGGACAGGAACAGGAGGCATAGAGCTGTCTTCTGAAGGGAGTCCATCGAGTCCCTTATATCTGTTCCGAGAGCCTGGGATGAAAGGTGCCGTAGACTTTCAGCGTTTGGTGTTACACTATCAGAGCAGAAGAGGTGACATCAGTTTCCTGGGCATAAACTGAATTCACAACATTTAGAATTCCCATCCCTGTCTCTTGTTGTTTTATCTCCTTTTCGCCAGTAACAAAACAGCCCCTCGGACACAGGCCTTTTGCCGAACGGAGAACCCACAGTACAATGCAGCGAATGCATTTGGGCAGGGGCAGATGACCATTTTGCGGGGCCCAGGGCAGCCCAATTTTGCGGGGCCCCCCTTTGCCACCACGCATGTGCCATGGAGCCACCGCACATGCGCGGGGCTTCTTGAAGCGTGGAGCCCGGGACGGCCGTCCCGCTCGCCCTGCCCTATATCCGCCCCTGCATTTGGGTGGTGACTGGGCAGCTCAATCTTGTCAAGGAAGAAAGTTGGCCCTTGGCAGGGGGGCCATTTTGGTTCTGTTCCTGAGTCAGCTCTGTGGGAGCCTGGCCCTTGTGACCCTTCCCACAGCCCACTCTGGCTTCAGGTCTTGGGCACAAAGAAGTGCAAACCAGAGTGTGGAAATGAGTTAGGTTAGGCCTCAGCAAAACCCAAGTGGAATTTGACGGAGGTTTGGGGAGGGGAAGAAAGGCCCTTCCGAGCCTGGGAGAGTTTCTCCTGCCCACAGTTCAAAGACCTGCTGCTGCAAACGGGAGGTGTGGGAGTGTCTCAAAAGACAGTGAGAAGAATCTTTTATAACAGAAAGTGTTTCCTAACCGGCATGCTTTCCTGCTAAAACAAGAGGAGTGTAGCTTCCAACTGGCTATGGATGAACCCCTTCTAAGGATGAGTGTGTAACTGTCTCCCTGGCCCAGGTATACTTTGGTGTCTGTGTTGGAGAGGACGCAAGGATGGGGTCATGGCGCAGGTGTCTGCTCTGTGGACATCTATCCAGTAGGAATCTGGTCTGGATTTAATTCCTGTATTAAACCACTGAGGAATTTTCAGACTCTTAAATTTCCCTGCACTGCCCCCACGGCTGGGATCTGAACCACTGATTCAGGCACCAAGCTGCTGGACCCCCATCGCTATTCTGAGAGCCATCCAGCTCTGAGAAAATAAGAAAGACAAGACACATTTATTCCTCATCTGAATTTGGTGATGCTAAATCAGGGGTGGGGAACCTTTTTGGGGTTGGGGGCTGCTGACTCACAGAAAAATCAGTTGGGGGCCACATGCAAGTGAGAAGAAAAAATACCCAAAAACTCTTGCTGATTCCCCCCCACACACACACACACTGAGAAGGAGAAAGACACTCTTCACATTCTCCTCCCACACCAGAGCCTAGGGGGGTCTCAGCCTAGTAGATTTTGTGTGCTCCAGCCCCATGGTGGAGCAGTGGGGGGCTGGAGTGCCAACACAGGCTCCTCAATGTTGGGGGGCCGGAGCCCTGGGGGCTGGATCCAGGCAAGCCAGGAACCACATCAAACTTCCAGGCTTGAGGTTCCCTGCCCCTTATCTAAGTCTTCTCTCTTCTGGCAGCATTGGTGGATGATGTACTACTTATCAGGGAATTACCAACAAAGCCTCCCTGCATTCTGACCCCCCCCCCTTTCTTTGTTACCAGGATGTGAGCTCTGTACCTTGGGAAGCTGGAGATGGCTCTCCCTGGGGGGAGGGTCTTGGGCCCTTGACCTCTTGCTCCACAGGCAGGTACCTTATCCACTGTGCCACTGCAGGAGCCCCTCAACCTCCCTACATTTCCTGCCCCTCCCAATCCGTATTATATCCCAAGGGTGCCGGCTCCGTCCATCTGGAAGCTGGTCACAGGCTAGGGTGGAGGAAGTCTGAAGCGCCAGCATGGATTCCCCAATGGTGGGGTGGGGGAGCCCTGAGCCTCAGGGGTCAGACACAGGTAAGCTGGGGGCTGCATTTTGCCCCCAGGCCTTAGATTCCCCACCCCAGTGCTAAATGATGAAATTCCTGTACTTTTCCTTTAAACCACCAGAGGGCTCACAACCATCACTTAACAAGTGACAACGCACAAAATGTATGTTGTGTGACACTTCTAATCTTTGCCAGTTTTTGGAGTGCTGGCCTCCTATTGCAGGCTATAAGCAACTCCGAAGGTAAATTCTTTTCTGTTTTACAGTGCTTGAGTATATGCAGGATGCTGTATATAAATACATTTAACTATTTAAAGGGAAGCTGTTAACTTGGAAAAAAAATCTTACTTCACTGAAAATAAAAAATAAAAAAACTATATGTTTCCAGTGTATTTTGTACATAGTACATTTCATCATTTCCCCTAACGCTTAACTCCATTGAACTTAAAGAATTACTCATACAGTCCTTATAAGCATCAGCCAAGGAACAGAAATGTCCTTATACCATTTTAAAAGAATGTAAACAAACATTTATAGACCTACTGTGTCAAATGTGGGTTTACACTGAGTCAAATTTTTAAAAAATCAAGATGGCTGATTTTTAAACCGCACTTTACAGTGCCATTAAAACAAAGGAAATCAACAATTGTGTGTGTGTGAAATCTTACCATTTGGGTGTAGTCACCATTTTGTTTCAAGTCTACACTACCCTGCTGTCTTTTTGTTATCCACAGGTTTGCTGGAATGATTAGCCTGCATGAATGGAGGGGCCCCTTAGTTTGGCCTAAAGAAAAGGCATCATTTATGAGCTGTTCAAAGGTGTCCAAGTGGAATATGTGCCAGATTTAAAAGAAAGAAAAAAAAATGCTGAACCTCTATGTCAAGTTTTGTTACAAGAACATTATGACCGCTCTGATAGAACCCCCCGAATAGGGAGACTTACAGTGAAAAGATCAACTAATAATTGGTCAGACAACCCACCCTAGGGCTAGAAGAGAGGAGAAAAGAGGTGGGAGCCTAGGGCCCCTGCAAACGCATAGGAATTGTAACTTCACCTACTGGCTTCCACAGAAATACTCACACACAAGCAGTTCTTTATGTACTAAGGATTTGGTAAGATTCTGACCCTTGAGATTAGTTGTCTTCCTCAGTGACCTATGTACAAGCCTATTGTTGTTTGTCTTCAGTTCTTATGTAATCTTTATCTTTGTTTTCATTCTGTCACTGTGTAACTACCCTCATTTGGCTGAGCTTTGTCTGCTACTCCTCAGCACTGTGCCTTGGATCTGCCTAGTTCTTACCTTTGGCTACTTCTTGCTCCTATTTTTAATTCTGGATAGGTCTATACCTTGTGCAGTCTTTCCTGCATGGCTCACTGGGATCACTTTCAAATTCCTTTCTATCATGTTGCCAAATGGGCAGGTTTTTTCTGACAAGGTATTTTCTGGTGAGATTACTTAGTCCCTGTGCTAAATTCAAGACAGGAGAAGCTCTGCTGAAATTAATGTGGTGAGTTTGGCCCCTTGTGACTTGCCTTTTGCAGAAGTATTAGAGGAAATATCAGAAATGATGGGTGGGAAAGGGCAGAATTAACCAAAGGAGGAAGGGAATTTGGGAGATCATGAATGAGATGCTCTGGCGCTAATTGGAAAGCTCAGAGCTCAGACAGGAAAGGGTTATGAATTCATGAATTTTGATCAGTTGCATCCTTTTTGTGTCTCTCATTTTCATCTGATTTGGCTTTGTTTCTTGCATTTTATTTGGTATACGCACGCTCTATGTTTATTTAGACAGAATTAAGTGGACCAGCTCTGTGTCAGTGTAGCTATCAATGGGAATAATCTAGAGATCAGTATTTTAATACTGAGAAGATACTAAAACAGGTTATTGATACAATGTCAATAAAAGGTCCTTACACTAGCAAAGAACCCAGTGTACCCTGGGGGATTTCTCTTGAGTGAACACTTAGGAAAGCAGGGGTTAACTCAGTGATAATAAAACTAAGGATGCCAAAGGACTTGCCAAATATTATACGTATAAATCTCACATCCAGTTGTGAGCTAGGGTATGAAATACCCTGATTACAGACTGATAAACTGAAGTACAAGGCAGCCATGGGTATTGCTCAGGATCTCAAGGTGACTCTGTGGCAACGGCAAAAATACAAAGCAGAGGTGAAATACTGGTCCCTATTGAAGTTAACAGCAAAATTCCCACTGGCATCAGTGGAACCAGGATTTCAGCTCAGGAGTCCCAAATCTTACATGATAGAAATGTAGCCGTGTTAGTCTGGGGTAGTTGAAGCAAAATGCAGGACAATATAGCACTTTAAAGACTAACAAGATGGTTTATTATAAATCTTACATTGCTGCTCTGATGACTACACCACACTTCCTCCTCCCATCTTAAATTGTGGAGCCTGAACAAACAAGGGAAGAAGAACCAGTTCTAAGTACAGTATTGTGAGTGGCAAGAAGAGGACTAAATTAATCACTGAAGTAACTCCCTGATGTCCATCTGTGCAAAGGGGCATGAAGAACAAGACGTTCAATCAACAAGAAGCAGAAGTCAAACAAGCTAATCGTATGTTGGGAATCACTACAAAAGGGAGAGGTAATCAGACAGAAAATATCAAATTGCCTCTTTACAAATCCAGGTTATGCTCACATCTCGGTTACTGCATGCAAATCTGGTTGCATGAAAAGAACTAATAGGATTGGAGAAGGTTCAGAAAAGGGAACCAAAATGATTAGGGTATGGAACAGCTTCTGTCTGAGGAGTGATTAATAAAATTAGGGCTTTTAAGGTTGGAAAAGAGATGTCTAAGGGAGGACTGAATTCTATGAAATCAAACTAGTGCAGAAAAAGTAAATAAGGAAGTTAGTTACTCCTTTAACATAAGAACTAGAGGTCATTCAATGAAATCAATAGTCAGCAGGTTTAAAAAACAAAACAAAGTATTCTTCGCACAACACAGAGTCAACTTGTGAAACTCTGCCAGAGGATATTGTGAAGGACAAGGCACTAACAGAATTTAAAAAAAAACAAACAACAGAAAAGTTCATGAAAGATAGGTCTATCAATGGCTATTAGCCAGGATGGGCAGGGATGGTGTCTGTACCCTCTTTTTGGCAGAACCTAAGAATGGGTGACAGGGGATGGATTACTTGTTGA